ACGGGAAGCGTCGGGGAGGTCGGTCCAGAGAAGAGAAGGCTAGTAGAATAACTTGTTGATGTGGTCACCTGATGTCATGCTAATGCCTACGTAAGAGCTGCCTGTCTACCGTCTAATCCCTTATCTTCAGACTTCAAAGGGCAGTTGGTTGCAGACGATTTATTAGGCATTGTTACTGGGAAGGATGGGAAATGGGATACTGATGAGGTGGCTATAAGATATCAATCGGAGGAAGATTCCTCACCGGCTTCAAACACATAATTCGCGTTTCCAATTTGTTCCGACCTCTCACCTATAAAAGTCCACTTAAACAAACTAGTATATATTAAAGCCTACTTACTTTGTTCTCATTGGATTACATATTTTAACCCCACTTACTGCTTATCTACACGATGGGAAGTCTCGAAACACAAAATTTGTTGTAAGTGATAGTGGGTTATTTATTGTTCTTACCTATTTCTCTAACAGTGGAGTCTAATGATTATATTTAACTTATTGCTTTACCACATAAATATACAATTTTTGATAAACTCTTTAGTATCGTGCAAAATAAAGGTGAATGCAAGCATTATAAACTGACTCTCTTCAAATTATTGCTGAGATCCCTCATTATATCAGTTAAAAGTCAGTATGCATTAACTTACATGCGTTATCCACTTTTCACAACCAGAATTTCAACATATATAAACTAACCACCTAACACTAGCTTAACGTTCTTTGCCGCATTTTAAAATTATCTGTATTAGTAGTATGTTAGTTGTTCTAACTTTTCAAATTAGTGTGCGTTTGAGAAGCTTTGACGTTGAACATGAGCTACGGTCGTTCTCCTCCTCGTATTGATGGAATGGTATCACTTAAAGTGGACAACTTAGCTTACAGAACTACTGTGGAAGATTTGCGTAGAATATTTTCTCGCTACGGCGAGGTTGGTATGTTTCGAAGGCTTCTGTTTATTGTGTGTTAGGCGACGTGTACATTCCGCGAAATCCTTATTCGATGGATAGTCGCGGTTTTGCCTTTGTGAGGTACTATAGTGATCGCGATGCCGAAGACGCCATACGCGGGATGGATGGTCGTAAAATTGATGGACGAGAAATTCGTGTTCAGCGCGCTATGTATGGTAGGCCCAACTCTCGCAGACGTGGGCGGTAGGTGTTCGTTTGCATAGTTTTTTTATTTTTTCTGTTTCTTTCTAATATTGTAATTTTTTAGGCGTTTATCAACACCTAGACGTAGAAGATCAAGGTCTTACTCCTCGCGTCGTAGATCAAAGGATCGATATGACGATGATGATTATAAGAAAGATAAATATCGTGACAGCCGCTCTCGCTCCAGAGATCGGTACTAGTTAAAGTGCTTATATGTACGACCTTCACATGCTGATAGTCTTTTATTTGGCTTCTAGTGAAGAACTCGGGGGAACTGTAAGGTGTGTCTTCATGTCGTCGCTATCTGCTGCTTTTTGACGCTGGAAAAACTGCAGGCGGTTGGTGACCTAGAATGCTGATATGAGCTGTTAGTTACGTCTTCACTGTCGAGTGCTGAACCGCAGAGGCGGTGTGCGGATTTGGGTCTCTAGCGGATAATGTTGCTGGGTTTGCGGTGCGGGCTCTTCAATCTGGAAATGGTGGGGAGACGTTTTCATCTGCGGCGTTCCAGTGGCTGTTTCCTGAGCGGGTGTTCTGCGAAATGGCAGAGTAGCAGTTACGTGGATAGTGTGGTGTATCTTCTTGGTGCTGTGGAGGAGCAACTTCTGTCCGGTCAGCCAGGCACTTCGAGAGCGGCGTGAGATAGCGGATGTAGTGACGGTGGAGATAATTACAGAGGTAAAATTAACGAGCAACTAAGTCGTAAAAGTGTTTTGTGCAAGCTAGTGAGCTAATAAATACGCTTCATCTTTCTTGTGTTTTCGTCACCTGGAAGGTGAAGATTCGTTTTCTTAGAAGAGAGTTCTTTTGGAAGTCGTGGATTGTGGGATTCCCTTGAAGCGGTACGCATTTGTCCTGGACTTTCGATGTGCTATAGGTTGTGTTGTGGTGAGGCTTAATACTACTGCGATCAGGTGCGTAGGAGTGTGGGTTAGGGTGTGTGGTCCTTAAGGTGGATACGGGGTGGAAGCGTGCTGAAGACCCTCGCTGGATGCGTTAGTTGTAGTCAGTGATGGGAGTAGACCTAGTCGCTTGAACTTTCTGTTCAAATTCTAAAAATTAATATCAGTTCGGTAATGTATACATTGCGATGACATTAGGTGTTTGAAGAGTTTTGTGGGTGCTTAGTTTTAATTAATTCTAGCGCCGTGCGCTTGTAGCGTATGTGGGAGGTGTAAGTTAGTGTGGTGGGGTGGGCTATGTCTAGCATTAGTAGTGCTGTGAAGGAGCACAGGAGGGTAGTTTCGTCTTGGCATCCACGAATTAGCGTATGGGCGCTTGCGCACGGTGCTACAATATCCGGGGTTTGCGTGGCAGGATCTAGTTACATGATTCTGATCCGAATGCGTCAGTTCTTTAATCTTTATTCGCAACAACATTTTTTGGGGACCCTATTTCCAGTTGTGATACTTCCCAGTGTAGGTTATATCATTCTACAGGACGTATTTGTGGATCGGAAACTTGCTGTTAACTTGTCCTTACCCAAAACACACAGACATCTCTGTTCTACTTGTCTAGAAATTCGGGGATCCTTGGTACAAGTGAGTAATTAGCTAGCCCTTCGATTTCTTCATTGCTCTTTTTGTTTCCTTGTTAAAATTCATCTGCTTGGTGCCTTCAGAATGCTAGGAGCCGCGTTGATTATCTTGATTTTTACTTTTAGGTAGCTGCTAGTGTTGTATCTCCTCTTCTGTTTTCTATATTTTCTTGCGTCCCGGCCTCGATTTCTTATAGAACCTTTCCTGTGCCTGAGCTTACGAATTACCGCAAAGTGTTTGGCTTGGCCTGTAGGGCTTGTGGGAGCTTTTCTTCTACCTTAATTCTACTCACTCTTGTTAATGGACTGGTTGGTGGTTTTATAACTGAGAAAATGGTGGAACAGCATACATCAATTTCTGCAGCACTGGAGGACAAGAACTCACGGAATTGATATCGCAATGGCTCAGTAATGTAGTTTAAGTGTTCTCTTACAATATACTATTTTTGCAACAGTCTTAGAATTTTTTCTTGCTTGTGGACATTGGGTTACAATTGCTATATCTAAGTCTGATTGGAAATCTGAACGGCGGTTTACGTAATGACTTCCTTCTTTACAGCAGTCGCTTACCTTATCAGAATGCTGCTTTTTCCGGCGTTTTCTTTGCGTATAGCTGGTGGGGATTACTGTCTCAGAAAATCATTTGTGTTTCAGCTCTCAAATGATACGGATCAAAACGGCGGATTGCAGTGACTGCTTGCAGGTCGTTAATCACATTCTTTCAGAATATTTAGGTACGCTCAATTTATAAGGATTGTGTGTAACAATATATGCGAGCAAAGCAGTTGACTACGATGTCACATTTCATGTAGACATCGCCTTAGATGTTCTTGTGTTTGTTTCTGATTCCAAGGATTTCTTTTTAGGCTTCACACATTATCGAATCGACAGAGACAAAGAGCTAATTATGATTCAGGAAAACATTGAGTCGGAGCGAATAACAGAGGCAGTTAACCAATTAAAGGCCTCCAAGATCGATGCTTCGCTTGCTTCTTTGGATTATATCGGTCATAAGGTGGTTTTGAGTGGTTGATAGTATATATTTAGATATTAAATGTTTGGTTTTTACTAAATTCATCTATTACCTTTGAAAAATCGATGAAATTTCTAAGCGTTGAGGACATAATTGTCCTAAAAGATCACTTTTAGTGTAGCACATAGTTGGTCACTTCAATAATTTCCAACAGTTTCTCAAAGATAAGCGGTTTTTGCCTTGTTTGCATCGCTATATAATCTGGAACTTTCTTTTTATGGTCGAAGTGGTGTGGTTTTCACTAATGTTCACTTTAGAGCAGCGTTTTGTCAAGCAACCGAGGTAGCCTCTCTGGCGGTTATAGTGATGGGTTTGTTCAAAGTGTGGAGCAACTGGCGGCTGTCCTAGAACCATCTAACTGGTGCCAGCGAGGCCATAGCGTACCTGCGTGGTGCATCAACGTGGAGCCGCTGTCGAGCATGAGTTCCTGCATCTCAGTGCTCGCTCGAATCAAGCCACTTCCCAAAGCGATGGGGCATGTGAAACGCGCCTTTGTTAGACAATTGGATCAAGCCAAAGCTGGCAAGGTGCTATTGGGTCTAGTCGGTAAAAGGCAAGCTATCCTTACCATCGCTTTCACAACTGATCGTCTCTAAACCGGGCACTACCAAACTTTCTTTAATCTGAACCCGAATGGTGAAGTGAACTATTTCTTCCTGCGTATCAGTTCAGATTTGACAAAGTGCTTATTCAGATTTGCCACTATGAATTAATTTAGAGAGTTGTTAAATTATATAGTTCTTTAAGCATTTTTTTGTGCAGTTCAGGTAAGGCTCGTTTAGAAGAAGGCAAAGTTCAAATCGATTTCATTGATTCTACTTGTAAGCTCTGTTTCATCGTTAAATTTCTGAAGCTTTTCGGAGGAAGATGCAGCGAAGCTGGTATCTAAGTTGTGTCTAATGACTGGTATTTCAAAGGGGATTATGGAGACCTGTCGAGTCCCTCTTTGTCCACCTCGTTCGTGTCGTCAACAGAAGGTGCTCACCTCCCTTCTCAAGGGTGATGGCGAAAGTCGTAGTTGGCCATTCAACTTTCACCCAAATCAAAATCTTGAGTCACTTCTGTCGTCTGGAATTCGGAAAGGAGGACAGAATGAGTGCGACAAACCATATTTCTCTGTTGACGAAATTAAATGGTGCGTCTATTGGTGTTATTTAAAATCGCCTTTATAGTTATAAAGCCCAACTCTCATTCCCATTGCTAATTAATTTGCAATTTCAAAATTGACTTCATCTTTACGTCCTTTGTCTTTTACCAAAGTCACGACACAATTGTTACATCTGTTGATTTATCTGGTTGTATTCGACAAATTTCTTGAACATATTGAGCTACTTTTCGATGGTCACCGATTGTAGGCACAACCACTGGCTCCGACGAGCTATTGACCTAGCGAGGAGCAGATCCAACAATGTGAAAAATGCTTCGTGCGATCTTGAGAACCCAGACTGCGTGTGCACCTGTGTCGTTGTTCGCCCACACTCGGCTAAGGCCTTAAACCCCATTGAAGCTCAACCACTGGTCGAGGCCGTGTCCACGGACGCCGAATCCCACATCGACCATGCTACTATGCTTGCGGTTTGCATAGTTGGTCGGTATGCTCTAAGAACTGGTCATGCATCAAACCTAGTGACTGATACCCTCTTCATAGTGTTAGCATATTTCTTGAGGTTTGTGTCAAAAGGTAACGCTTTATATAACCCATCCCAGAATCAACCGGGAGTTGCGCCATGCAGCTGACGAAGATGGGAATGCAGCGACGAAACACAGTGGGGTATATCTCCTAACTGACTGCGACGTCTACCTCTCGACGGAACCATGTCTCATGTGCGCAATGGCCCTGCTTCATTCGCGCGTTAAGCGAGTTTTCATTGCCCGTCGTCTCCCTTCCATCGGCGGATTGTGTAGCCGATGGAAGCTTCCGCTAGTCAAAGGCGTCAATCATCATTTTCTTGTATTTGCACCCTGTGAGACCTAGCCTGGAAATGGACAAAATGAAATAGAAACACCTTCCCTGTTCCTTTGCATCAGAAAAACAAAGAGAGGACATCAAGCACATGGCCTGTACTTATTTATCGTACATTTATATTTGTATTCCAAGTTCACATTTAGATAATAATTGTCGAGTGGTAAAAATTTGCCGTCTGTACATTGTTCAGGGATGCTTAAAAGTACATTTGACTCATGATGATTTCTTTTGAACCCTGTACTGAGCTGTGACCATGGCATGACCTCTTTCGTAAGGCTCCAAAGTTACTTGCTCCCGAGGAGTAAATTGTTGTTTCCGCAAAGCATCGACTTCTTTGGCAAACACGACTTCGGGTGCGGCTACTGAGTCAATACAAGAGGCCTTGACAGATATCACCGCATAGCCACCGTTCTTTAAGAAGTGTTCCGCATTGACAGCAACAATGCGCGACTGGTCCGGCTGAGCGACATCGGCGAAAATACAATCAACCATTCCTAAGAAGAGGTAAAGAGGAACAAACACATACCAACCAGCATTCTGTACTTATGCGGGTGACGAGCGTCCTCGATTATAGGCACAATGTTTGTACGATGCTTCGCGACGTTAAGTAAATCCCGACCGGAACGATGGGAGAACTCGATGGCATAAACAACTCCTTTAGGGCCAACCAAATCGGATACATGAGAGACAGTGGTGCCGCTGGCAGCGCCCAAATAAAGAACACGGCTTCCAGGACGCATGTGAATGTGTTCAAGACCATTGATGATACCAGCCGCTAACTTGGAACGAAAAGGATTCCATACTCGATACTCAACCTTTGCGCCATTCTCATCATCAACACTTATGCGTTTTTCTCCGTAAACCGACTCTCCAGTGACCAGATTGCGAGTAACAAGGGCATCCTCCTTCCCTTTGGCAACGAATATTCCCTCATGACGATGAGGTTCAATAAACACTTTCTTTCCCCCTCGCATTCCACCACGGGCAACACCGTGCCCGCGAGGTGTACCTCTCTTAGCTCCACGATCTCCACCGCGTCCGCCGCCTCTGAAACCTCTGCCTCCACCTCGAAAACCACCTCTATCACCCTCACCGCCATAGCTAAACCGACCACCACCGAAGGCACCACGTCCCCTAGACCCGCCTCGATCGCTGAATCTACCGCCACCTCGAAAGTCTACAAAATTACATTAAAGTGCACAAACAAGACCTGGCCTGCCCATTAAAATGCAGAGCGTGCGATTTACAGAATAGACCACACTTCTAGTAGGTGAACTTAAACAAAAGCGAAAGCGAATAAATTAGCGACAATAGTGAGTATAAAGTTTAGCCAGTTACCGAACTAATATATTACCGACAAGAAGGGAGTCACGTACTCCAGCAAATTTTCAATCTCAGTACCTTTCAATTCCATTAGGAATATCAAAAAACCACCAAAATCCTAAAACATAGCACAAAACCTTCCTCTGCAAAAGAAAAAAAGCGTAAAATATATGTTTAATGTATTGTAAAACATAAGTGACATTAGCACGAAGAATAAAAAAACCAAAATAAATTCATTTTCAGATCTTAAAATACGTATAAAAAGTCATTTCAAAGAAGACAATGATCTTTATGCCAGATGCTGTAGCGTCATATGATTTCAATGATATGTGCGTAAACCACCCCAGACTGTCCAATCCCTCGTCTTCAGAGGAATCTCAACTCTTCTTTGTAGAGACTCAAGGGAGGACCTATTTTTAGG